GCAAGGAACTTGTTCCACTGGTAAACAACGGCGATTCCAGTGCTCTGTTGATGGAATTTGTCATTGATTGTCTCCTTTCAATGCAGAACTTGATATGGTGCTGGTGAATGTATCTTTATAAGGACAGGGTGTAAAATAATCTGATTGCAGTTTTCTATATTGTGGAGTAATGTGATGTAAATGTGACAGATTGTAAAATAAATTCCCTATCACCATTAGGACTTTTTTTTTCTTTTGTATTTTGGTGTGAGTTAGGGGATTATGTTTTTTTGATGGGTTATTAGCCATGTATAATGGAGTATTACTTAGTACTGCTTTAATATTAATAAAAATCTATGGTGTGTGGGATAGGAGGGGGATGTGTGAAAGATCTGGGAGCGTTAATTTTTTTAGTTGTTACTTGGTTTCTTTGGTGTTGGACAAATATGAAGGTGTTTGAAACAAATGTGAGGTCTGAGGTGTTGCTGTTGGAGTTAATTCAGGAAAAATCTTTTTTATGGTTAAGAAATAAAGAAAATGATTGTGTGTTCTCTTATAATGATTAAATATCAAGCCCTATAGAATATAGAGATGCTACCGTGCAGTATCACAAAAATTTGAGAAGATACAAGCAGTAAATTACAGCTATGAGCTAATTTCTTTTTCTGTTTTTTCTTACCAAAGGTGTAATTCTTTACAAGTATTTTGATTTTGTTCTAGGCTTGTAATTTGACTTTTTTTTTGGAGTATTCCTTATACTCCTTCAATAATATCTATTGGTTTTTGCTGATAAAAAAAAAATAAGTGGAATTTCTCCATGTGAAAGTGATGAAAAAGATCCATCTTCAAAAGGGGTTGGTGGGAGATCAAATTTGGGGTTGAATTGGTCAAATAAATGTATTATTGCTTAATTTTCAATGTTGAACTTTTCTGAAACCATAATTAGTTACTAAGCCTAACATAACTGATGGAAAATATTAAGATTTATTCAAGATAAACACAAGAAAGACTCCAACATGAAATTATATAATAAAAAAATTGATGTAATCTGTAATATATGCACAAAAATTTTAGTTAATTTAATTAAAATTGACCTGTTGTTACTCCTTTTCTCTGTTCACCAGAAATTCCACAGTGCATTTCATCTCCAACAATTGTATCCTTACAGATATCAAGCCTCAGAATTTGTATCTTTCAAACATAAGGAAAAAAATGGTTCTTGAACTTAGTTCTTGAATGTTAAAAACAAGTATCAACTTAATCCTTAAACTTTAATTACAAATACCAATTTAGTTTTTTAACTTTAATTACATATCAATATAATGCACAAATAAAAATATATCATGATGATAAAATATAATTGTTTGATTTTATATATCATTAGTATTTTAAAAAAAAATTAATTTTGTGACAAGATAACGAATCATGTGACCTTTTTGTTAATAGCAGAACTATTTCGGTATTAAAAGTTAAAATTTATGAATAATTTTGATATTTTTTGGAATAAGAGGATAGTTGAAAACAAATTTGAAAGTTGAGGGACTAAATTAATAACAACTAATCACAACTCAAATTATCTACATTGTAGTGTTAGGTCCACAATTCATCCTATCCCATGTATGGATTGGTTTATGAAATGAGGCTGGTTCTAAATATAATCACTTTAAAAATAACTTGCAAATTACGTAAGAAGTAATTTAAAAAGTTAAATTTAATTAGGTATGTGTAATTTAATAATATAAAATATATAAAAAATATATACTTAAACAATTAAACTAAAAGAGATTTTGAAATAGACAGCACTGGGTTAATGAGTTGATTAAGATTTATGAATTTAACCGATCTAATCTTTCAAATGAATTAAATAATGAGTTAAAATATTTATTTGACCAGTTTTTATACCAAATTTAGTTCAACTAATTCAATTGAGTGAACTGGGTCGGGTTTTAAAAGCATGTTTTGTACTAATGCAGTATGGAAAGAAGTCTTGGAGAAATTCCGAATTTGTAGAATTCCAACGGTAAGGAGAATGGAGATGGATCATGAGAAAATGCCGGGGGCATATTAAAAAATAAGATTACATAAAACCAACAGGGGCGGAAATGTGAGAATTAAATACTAAGAACTACTATTACATAAAAGCAAGCAAACAAGG